TAGAGGACCCCTGGACAATTTCTGAGGCGGGAAGCCGGGGAATATTGCCTGAATACTCCATTGCGCATGCTTCTGAGTTTTGAAACTAAAGTAAATCAGAGGGCTAACTGAATATTGGACAAAAGAGTTCCTGTTTCTAGTTTAGAAAACCTGTTAATATTCTTTTCAAGTTTACAGTCAAGACATTGAATGAAGAAAATGGCTTACCTTCAACTGAATAGGTTCCTAAAAAGTTCCCAATATGTGTCACTCCTTCCAAAAGTATGGTTTGTCATCGTTTTCATAGAAATATCACGAAAGTATCCCAAACCATCCAGAATAATACACAGAATATATAAAACCATACACATATCCCAGATATAAGTCAGAAACCATCCAAAATAGTACAGAATAATATAAAATAAATCAGAATTCACCACAGTTCACAGATATCGCACCGAGTATATCGAAATCCCGCTCAGAAATGCTCGTGAAATTTCTGTACCGTTACATGCAAATGATAATTATACGTTCAACTCCTCCCTCTTTTTGACTGACGATTTGAATTTCAGCCAATCAGCTGCCAGAATTTTACATCCACGTGCTCTGCGTGTCAACTTTTCCCGCCAAAAATTGTTTTGGGTTTCTGTTGGTTTTAACATGTCACTTTCTCATCAATTTTCTGAAAGTTGATGAATTATTAAAGAAGATAGTCCATGAAAATTCAGAATAGCTGGTTGACTGAATTTTCAAAAGTGATGCTTGACAATAAATTTCCTTTGAAAAGTCTAAAAGCTGTTCAACAAATCTTTTGATCAATGAATAAGGCATTATTTACAACTTTGACAAGAGAAAAAACTGCAAAACCGACATGTTTGTGGAGTATATTACACGGTAGGGGACCATTAATACGGAACAGAAATCATGGCATAATCGCTAAATTCGCGCCAAAAATTACTCCGAAATCTAAAGGGACAGTTTTACTATTATAATAAAAATTCACCTTTTATCAGGCTTCCTTCATAATAACAAATCTCAAAACGTTTAATACTCCGACAATCTCGCTAATCCGACATTGTTTTGCGGTCCCAGTGTATGTCGGATTATACAGAGAATACTGTAAATGAATGAAAATGAAAAAAATACTGAAAATGAAAATGATTCGGCCAGTGGCGTATTAAGGGGGTCAGCCATTGGGCCATGGTTGTCCGCCGTCAGATCTGTGACAGGTCTTATGTTGAAGTGAAAATTAAGCCCTCTAAATACTTACAATTCATTTCGCATCTGAAATCCGTTGGTTTCTGGGCGCCCCTATCAGCCCCCGGACCCCAGACTCAAGGGGCTTGTCTTCGGCCCTTTTGGGCGTGTCTCGGAGAGAACAGACCACACCCCCAGAAACAGTGGCGGGGCCAAGGAGTTGGAGTGGCAGAGGGGGAAGTGGGAAAAAATCTCATAACTAGGTTAGAAATTCGGGAAATCTCAGATATTTCGCTCCCCTTCGGTGTGAACTTGGCTCCGCCACGGGTCAGAAATTAACCAGTAGTTTTAACATGAATGTATGACGTAACAGTTAAAAATAACTTTACATTATGTTTTGTAGTATTGTAGTATATATATATATAATTATATATATTATAAAGGGCATAGCTACCCCTCTTTGTGTGAGTCTATATGAGTGTAATATCGGTATTACTTCCCTGATTGAAAAGTAACACCTTAAGCTATAGAATTATTTTGATATCAAACCCACTGTTATACTTGCGATAAATACAGTTTTTTGGGGGCAGACAGCTAGAGAGACAAGAAATTATCCAATAGCTTCAACTTGAATGCCTGACGAAGGAGTCTTTACAAAAATAACACCAAATTGTGTTTTGTTATATTGAGGATTAACATAAATTGTGAGGGTCATGTGGAGCAGTTTGAAAGAAAAGAAACTATACTATGTTACAAGGATAACAACTTAGATTCACAGTTAAGAATCCTTTCTACTACCTTGACCAAACCTCTTGGCATTGATCTTTCCCGGATTATCCGTACCCATTTACAGCTGGGTCGACTGGAATGAGTGAAGACAACTTTTTCAAGGTGATAGGACTATTTTAACATGATTTCAGGTAAGGTAGATATTCCAAGCTAATCTCTCCTGTTTAACAAGTCTCGACACTTCCGGTAACCTAATGGAACTTTTAGGTTAAACCACCTGTTCGCCATCCTGTTGAAGTCTATGGGATAATAAACCCGGGTACTGGCAGCGTAGACTGTGTATGTCACAGAGCTATCGACAGTCGATATTGAAAGGTACTGAGCTAATGACCTCGTTGCACTCTGCATAGGGGTTACATTTCTCCTTTATAATGTTCAGGATATTAGGACGTAAACTCAATTTTCTTTCATTTCTATTCCAGGTTTGAGAAAACTAAAGATAGTTCTGACTATAGTTGGGATCGTCGCGTTCCTTGGTGTTTATTTTATTTTCGATGAAACTGATTTTAATAATCATTTTTACAATCAGTAAGTGATTGTTTTATTATGTTGTTTATTCATAAAATAGAACGTAAGCAGTAATACAAATGGTTTAATATCGGTGATACATTACAGACTCGTAGGCCATTGGCAAGCTTCTCAAACAAGAGTGATCATAATCACGTGTCTCTCGTGATGACGTCATATAGCGGGAAATACAAACTTGTTATCTAACAGTACATAATACAACAGTGATCTGCATTTTAGGCTTTTTAAACCGTATTTCTAGAGGGAAATGCCTCCCTTCTAACCTCACTGCTATCAATGCTGGTAGACAAATGGGGGTAAAATAGAGTCAGAGAGTAGTCTCTCGGCATTAGGAAATTCTCGACAGTTTTCGTACCGCTGAATCTACCTTTATACAGGGACATTTCGCTTTTTTGTTGTTAGAATTTTTTTTGCTTAGGTTTGTGGATACACCAAAATCTAGAGAAATATGCCCTTTAACATATTATCTGAAAGTTTGAACTAACGAAATCCATTTTTAAAAAAAATATTAAAACAAATTACGTAAGGTTTTTAAGTTCGTTATGGTTTTTGGAAGCTGTTAGAAATCTACTGTACGGATATGAGTAAAATAAACACCTAATTGTAGCGAAATATGTCCCCTACGTTTTCTAAAGTTTGCAATTAGAGCCAAGCGCCAAAGCTAGATCAAACTGCTTAATTAACAATTAGTACCATCCGTTTTTAATTAACCCTCTTAAAACAAATTCAGTTTGATCAAGAAGATATATAGATATAAATAGCATACTTTAGAAATATTTTCAGGTATAATTTACAACGTTTTTGATAATGAAATTTTTTTTTACAAAAAGCACAATGTATATTTTATATTTATACGGCTCTAGTTACATTGAATAGTGACTATTGAAATGATTTGTTTACAGTACAGGTTCAACCAATTTTGTGCCCACATGCATAACGTCTATAGCCCAGTATTCACCTTTAATATATTACGAAAACAGACTTATACTTATAGATGAAAGGTTCAATTCATAGTATTCATTCAATGATAATAAACCAGAAGATATGAATATCTTGTTCAGTGGCGTCTCTATAAAGCGTTAGTTGAAGGGGCCGAGTAGGGGCTACATAATCGGGGGAAGGGGGGGGGGGGGGGTATTTTCAATAGCACTGGACATTTAAGAACTCAATGGTTTTTAAATTTGAATCTGGAGGAGGGGGGAGGGTGTTTTTTTTAGACCTTCCACCTCTTGCATTGCTCTGCTCCACTCCACTCCACTCTGACAAAACGCGACAAGAATTATTCAGATCTTCAGATCAGATCAATGAATCAAAGATCTGTCTTAAAATGACGACGAGACAATCAGTAGGTTATTTCAGTGGCAGTTGAAGGTCTTGTACAATTTCCCTCATTGCACAGTTCATGGAATTGCCTATCTTCATTAGCCTGCTCAGGTGCAGTCGTAAGTGAACGACGTTTTATATATACCGCATAATTGTGTGTGTAATGCGCATCCCTCCGTAAATCTGTAAATACACGCTGTAATTAATATAATTTCAGTCAACAAGAGAAGATTAAACCAAAGAAATCTACACTTGATAAAAATCCTCGACCAAATGGTTGTCGACTTCAATTTAAAAGAAATCATTGTTTACAAAATCTCCAGAATCAAATTGGATTCAAGCAATGTGGAAATCCAGCATGTTCATGTTTTCCTCTGGAGATCTTCGAAAAACAAACACCATCCTATCTCCTGGGAACATTTCCGCCAATAATGGAACCTATGTTCCCCATCGAAAAAGAACTTTTAGACGTTGAACCTTTGATGGATATAAAGAAAACGTCGAGTGCTATTCTGTCACATTTGGTTTTATTAAGTTCTTCTAAAATCTTTAAGGTCGGTGATATCATAAACGTTAGAATCGACGTGAAGGACGGAGCCGGACGACAGCGGACCGTCGGTGCCGATTTCGTTCAAGTGTGGATGAAATCTGATAATGGTCCAATGCGAGCAAGTAGTGCAGAAGTAGTTGACCTGAAAAACGGAAGTTACATAGCTACATTAAGAGCATTATGGGTTGGAGACGTAATTATAGTAGGAGCTTTGCCCTTAACAAGGGAGGCAAACGCTTTCAATTTTCAAATGGGACGAGAATACAGATCTATGAATTTTTATGTTGGACATTTTAAAAAAGAGAAACTGAACGAATTTACTCTCTGTTCTATGTTTTCTGTTATCCCTGGATATAAACTCATCTGTAATTTAACAGAGATGAATTATGGTTATGGATGGTATTGTGGAAAACCGTTAAATGGTAAACTGACGTGTAATGATTTTGTTTTCGCTAAAGACTATGACTACGTTAATATCCCAATTACTCCAGCTCTGTACAAAATTTTCATAAGGTAAATATTTTTTGTTTGTTTGAGAAAATCACTGTCTTCCCTATTTTGGAAACATATCCATTTTTTCGCCAGTGTAACGGCTGTATTTGATGTATTCGGCTGTGAAAAGACACATGTAAGGTACAATTTATAACACGGTTTTCAAGAGTTAACCGTTTTTAATCTGTGCTGATAACTAGAGGTAGGTAGGTAGATGACAAGTTAACGTTCGCTTCCAGCGGATGCTGATATCGCAAACTAGGCAGTTGTTGGTAGCCGTAGTAGTTGGTAGTTGGATTGGTTCAAATTGGGTGATTCTGTCTTGTTAGTTTGGTTGTTGAAGATAACTAGAGTCACTCACATCTATTTATACAACTGCTTTGCGCCGCCTATTTGTTTTTTTTTCAAACAAAAAGATCAAAGGAAATTGCCGAGATACTGAATAATAACAGCGAATCTTTATCAAGCATACGATTAATCATAGTTATAAGATAACTAGATAAATTATGAATTAATTAGATACCACAAAATGGTATTTCCCAGTCATTAAGATGCCTACACTTTCTATAAATATTAAAACAGAATCTGAAACATGTTGTTCCCAAGAGTTACTGTGAACATTTCTATAAAGATAGCTTGCCAGGCAAGGTAATATACGCCCAATGGCAGCTTTGATTTTGAATAAAAATATTTGGCAGTATAGTTACAATAACCAGTATGAAATATTCAACCTTCAGTCATACACTTCTTTTGAACTCTTTGGGGCGATACTGAATAATATTGAGTATGAGTTATTGCCCTTGTCCTTGAAAACGTGTTCAATTCTTAGTTCGTGAAAACTCTAGAAGACAAATATTCAACCCTCAGCGCGGTATTGAAAAATAAAACCAAGTTATGTCAAAATCCAGCAAGAATCATGCCTTTGCGTCTTTAAGAGCTAAAATTTGAAAGCGTTTTCAAGAACGAGGTCAATAACTTCTATGAAACATTTTTCGATGTTTTTGATTTTCTATAGGGTTCATTCATGGGTGATAATAAACAATTTCACCAAGTTTCGTCAAAATCTAGAATGTTAACGAGCTAAAAATTGAACAAGTTTTCAAGAACAAGGGCAATAACTCCTACTAAATATTTTCAAGATTTCTGATTTTCAATAGGGTTCATCCTTGGTTATTAACACTCACACCAAATTGCGTCAAAGAGTTGTGCCTTCTAGAGTGTTTACGATCAATTGTGGACGGACGGACATGGGTGACGACAATATACGCCCACATGAAGATCTAGCTGTCCAATACCTTAATATAAACAAATGAAAGTGTGGCAACTGATCTTTAAAGTTCATTAAAATACAGATGTGATGTCACCCGTTGATTTTGGCGTACCATTATCCACCATAATGGTACTGACAAATGGCCAATATTACGAGTCCAATATTAACATCAATAATGGACCCCAAATATTGGACTCTTGGTCCGTTGCCAAGTAAATTTGATCTGTTTTATAAATGTATTCACGATTGACCTTGTTTATATGAACACTAGTTTTTATATATATATATATATACGATGAGTTAAAGCATCCATCTGAGATTCATATTTAGGAAAAGGTCAACTTAGTTAGAATTAGAATGTTAAATTTCAATCAGAATATTTATGCCATGTTTTTTATGAACAACACTAAATGTATTAATTTAATATATCCTAGGAAATAATATTTCTAATAGCTCAGTCAATACTGTCATCCTTATGACTAATTCATTGCTAATATAATTTAGCAATGCAAAATGTATGTAAATATTAAAACGATTCCATAAGTGCCATGACAGTAATGTAAGGGGCCATAAAGAAAAATGTAAATCCACATAAATCTGCATAAATAATCTAAATACTAGCTGTCAAATGACTAAATATATCTACGGAAAATTCGAAAATCCATATTTGATAAATAAAAGAGTGGGCGTTCTAGTCAAGTCAAATTTCGCCTCGTTACTAATTGACTTTTTTACATTTGATAATTTTACTTTAATTTTCAGAACTGATAGAAAAATCATGATCTCATCACAGATCCAGTTGAAAATAGAATCAGGTATTTATGGAAATAAGTCCACACTCTGTTCGGGTGTGAAGTGAAGACCAGAAATATGGGTGGGATTAGGGCTGTTTTTTTTTTGTTTAGGAATATGTTTGCCTAACGTTATTTGACATGAAGGTGACACTTTTATTTGCTAACTTTAACTTAGGTCAAGATGGGTTCGTTAGTTGATGTCAAAATCGTGACCTTTTTTTGACGTCAAGATGCAGACATTATTTGACGCCAAGATGTTGACGTTAATTGACGCCAAGATGGCGACGTTAATTGACGTCACGATGCCGACGTTATTTGACGTCAAGATGGTGACGTTAATGGCGTAAAGATGGCGAAGTTATTAGGCGTCAAGATGGCGACGTTAATTGACGTGAATATGGCGACGCTTATTCAACGTCACGTTTACGACGTAATATGATTCGGTCATATAAGAAATATCTTTCTAGCTAGAAACCAGAGTGTGAAACGATATCAAATGAATTACAGTTATAACTGTATCAGTAGGTTTTAATCTCTCATGTTTCCATCTTTATTTTCAGGTCGCACATCCCAGCCCCAGCCAAACAAAATTGACTGTACCGAGTTATCCCGCCGTGAGACCTGGGATATGATACAACCCACAGGATACTTCAACAGAACAGAGTGGGAAAATATAAAATGTCACAATCATGTGAACCAAAGGAACTTTTTATCATGTTTTAGGAACACAACTTTGATATTGTTTGGAGATTCGACCGTTCGTCAGTATTATACTTATATACGGAATGTCTCTAAATGTAACCAGACCACAGCAAAGTGGACACATTGGAAATGGTACGGGGCATCCCATTGTGAGGTTTCTCGGTATAATTTTAGCCTCACTTGGGCAGTTCAAGAATTTCCCTTTGTGGAGGGTTTTAAAACGACAGAGGGGGAAACAAACTTCAAACCGGCAGTTGTTCTGTTAAATGAGGCACCAAGTTCTGGACGTATTGTGTTCCTCATTCATTACTATGCTCATTTTTTGAGAGAACATTATTCATTATTTATTGACCGGATTCGATCTCTAAAAACTCCAATCCGAAACGCTTTAAAGAGAAATAAGTACATACATATAGCAATCAAATCACCTCACGTATTTTATTTTACTAAATGTCCAGCACAGTTTAGCATATTTCATGGCAAACTTTATATGGATATATTGAAAAGAGAACTGGTCGAATTTCATGATAAAGTGTGGTTTTTAAATATCTGGGACATGAGTACTGCGTTCGAAAATTACTACATTCACCCACCCAATGAATTTGTGTGGCAAAATTTACGGTTATTGGCAGGATATGTGTGTAATTAAGTAATTAAGGGATATTAAATTTTATATAAGTTAAATGTAGGTTATCTCCCTTACTGATGAAGTTCATCATAGTAAGACCTGATAAAGTCAAAGCTTAAAAACTTTATCATCAGATTTATTGATATTATTTGTAAGTTTTTGTTTTATATATGGAGCTTAGCTTATGCAAATTCAATGTTATTATCGTGTCGCGGAATCACAAAAAATTACTGTATTTATATTTATACGTAAAAAATAGTATAGATGTCATTAATTTTAAATTTTTCATCAGCAAAATCAATATTTTCTTTTTAATTCATTCTAAAGTTAAAACAAGACGGAATTTGTACTCACTTAAAGAGCGATTCCTTATTTTTTAGTGTCAAATTAAGCAAACTATTTTATTAATTGGTGTTTCTAATGAATAATCATGTATTATTAATAGTGGCAGAAGATTACAAACCCTTACCACCCAAGGGCCATAAGACCAAACACCCTTACCACCCTACTGTCATAAGATCACATACCCTTACCACCCTAGGGCCATAAGACCACATATTACTCTTACCACCCTAGGGTCATAACATCACACACCCTTACCACCCTAGGGTCATAACATCACACACTGTTACCACCTAGGGTCATAACATCACACACTCTTACCACCTAGGGTCATAACATCACACACCCTTACCATCCTAGGGTCATATCATCACATACTCTTACCACCCTAGGGACCATGAGACCATGATAAGGGCTTGTGATGTCCACCCAGGGTGGTAATGGTTTGTGGTACTGTGACCCTAGGGTGGTAAGGGTTTCTGATCTCATGACCCTAGGGTGGTAAGGGCATGTGGTCTCATGACCCTAGGGTGGTAAGGGCTTCTGATATCATTACCCTAGGATGATTAGGCTTTGTGGTCTCGTGACCCTAGTGTAATAAGGGTATGTGGTATTATGACCCTATGGTGGTGAGGGTATGTAATCTCATGTCCCTAGGGTGATCTCATGATCCTAGGGTGGTAAGGGCTTGTGATATCATTACCCTAGGATGGTTAGGCTTTGTGGTCTCGTGACCCTAGTGTAATAAGGGTATGTGGTATTATGACCCTATGGTGGTGAGGGTATGTAATCTCATGTCCCTAGGGTGATCTCATGATCCTAGGGTGGTAAGGGCTTGTGATGCCATATCCCTAGGGTGGTAAGGGCTTGTGAAGTCATGACCCAAAGGTGGTAAGGGTTTGTGGTCTCGTAACCCTAGGGTAGTAAGGGTATGTGGTATTATGCCCTAGGGTGGTAAGGGCACGTAATCTCATGTCCGTAGGATGGTAATGGCTTGTGGTCTCATGACCCTAGGGTGGTAAGGGTTTGTGGTCTCGTGACACTAGGATAGTAAGGATATGTGGTATTATTATCCTGGGGTGGTTAGGGCATGTAATCTCATGTCCCTAGGGTGGTAAGGGTTTGTGATGTTATGACCCTAGGGTGGTAAGGGTATGTGGTATTATGAACCAAAGGTGGTAAGGTTTTGTGGTCTCATGAACTTAGGGTGGTAAGGGCTTGTAATCTCATGACCATAGGGTGGTAATGGTTTGTGATGTCATGACTCTAGGGTGGTAAGGGCTTGTGGTATTATATCCCTTGGGTGGTAAGAGTATGCGGTCTCATGATGTTATGACTCTAGGGTGGTGAGGGTATGTGGAATTATAAACCTTGGGTAGTAAAGGTATGTGATCTCATGACCCTATGGTGTTAAGGGTTTGTGGTCTAGTGTCCCTAGGGTAGTAAGGTATGTGGTATTGTGACCCTAGGGTGGTAAGGGCTTGTAATACCATGTCCCTAGGATGGTAAGAGTATGTGGTCCCGTGACCCTAGGGTGGTAAGGCTTTAAGGAATAACAGATTCCACTAGTCGTAATAACAGATTCCACTAGTCGTAATAACAGATTCCACAAGTCGTAATAACAGATTCCACTAGTATAACAGTTTCCACTAGTATAACAGATTCCACTAGTCATAATAACAGATTCCACTAGTCATAATAACAGATTCCACAAGTCGTAATAACAGATTCCACAAGTCGTAATAACAGATTCCACTAGTATAACAGATACCACTAGTCATAATAACAGATTCCACTAGTCGTAATAACAGATTCCACAAGTCGTAATAACAGATTCCACAACTCGTAATAACAGATTCCACAAGTCAAAATAACAGATTCCACATGTCGTAATAACATATTCCACACGTCATAATAACATATTCCACACGTCATAATAACAGATTCCACTAGTCATAATAACAGATTCCACTAGTCATAATAACAGATTCCACTAGTCATAATAACAGATTCCACTAGTCATAATAACAGATTCCACTAGTCATAATAACAGATTCCACAAGTCGTAATAACAGATTTCACAAGTCATAATAACAGATTTCACAAGTCGTAATAACAGATTCAACAAGTCTTAATAACAGATTCCACTAGTCATAATAACAGACTCCACAAGTCGTAATAACAGATTCAACAAGTCTTAATAACAGATTCCACTAGTCATAATAACAGATTCCATTAGTCATAATAACAGATTTCACAAGTCGTAATAACAGATTCCACTAGTATAACAGATTCCACTAGTCATAGTAACAGATTCCACTAGTCATAATAACAGATTCCACAGGTCATAATAAGAGATTCCATTAGTCATAATAACAGATTCCACAAGTCATAATAACAGATTCCACTAGTATAACAGATTCCACTAGTCATAGTAACAGATTTCACTAGTCATAATAACAGATTCCACAGGCCATAATAAGAGATTCCATTAGTCATAATAACAGATTTCACAAGTCGTAATAACAGATTTCACTAGTATAACAGATTCCACTAGTCATAGTAACAGATTTCACTAGTCATAATAACAGATTCCACAGGTCATAATAAGAGATTTCACAAGTCGTAATAACAGATTCCACAAGTCGTAATAACAGATTCCACTAGTCATAATAACAGATTTCACAAGTCGTAATAACAGATTCCACTAGTCGTAATAACAGATTCAACAAGTCGTAATAACAGATTCCACTAGTATAACAGATTCCACTAGTCATAATAACAGATTCCACTAGTCATAATAACAGACTCAACAAGTCGTAATAACAGATTCCATTAGTCATAATAACAGATTTCACAAGTCGTAATAACAGATTCCACTAGTCTAACAGATTCCACTAGTCATAATAACAGATTTCACTAGTCATAATAACAGATTCCACAGGTCATAATAAGAGATTCCATTAGTCATAATAAGAGATTCCATTAGTCATAATAACAGATTCCACAAGTCGTAATAACAGATTCCACAAGTCGTAATAACAGAATCCACAAGTCGTAATAACAGATTCCACTAGTCGTAATAACAGATTTCACTAGTCATAATAACAGATTCCACAGGTCATATTAACAGATTCCATTAGTCATAATAACAGATTTCACAAGTCATAATAACAGATTCCACAAGTCGTAATAACAGATTCCACAAGTCGTAATAACAGAATCCACAAGTCGTAATAACAGATTCCACAAGTCATAATAACAGATTCCACTAGTCATAATAACAGATTTCACAAGTCGTAATAACAGATTCCACAAGTCGTAATAACAGATTCCATTAGTCATAATAACAGATTTCACAAGTCGTAATAACAGATTCAACAAGTCTTAATAACAGATTCCACTAGTCATAATAACAGACTCCACAAGTCGTAATAACAGATTCCATTAGTCATAATAACAGATTTCACAAGTCGTAATAACAGATTCCACTAGTCATAATAACAGATTTCACTAGTCATAATAACAGATTCCACAGGTCATAATAAGAGATTCCATTAGTCATAATAACAGATTCCACAAGTCGTAATAACAGATTCCACAAGTCGTAATAACAGAATCCGCAAGTCGTAATAACAGATTCCACAAGTCATAATAACAGATTTCACAAGTCGTTATAACAGATTCCACTAGTATAACAGATTCCACTAGACATAATAACAGATTCCACAAGTCCACAAGTCATAATAACAGATTTCACAAGTCGTAATAACAGATTCCACAAGTCGTAATAACAGATTCCACAAGTCTTAATAACAGATTCCACTAGTCATAATAACAGATTCCACAAGTCTTAATAACAGATTCCACAAGTCATAATAACAGATTTCACAAGTCGTAATAACAGATTTCACTAGTCATAATAACAGATTCCACAAGTCGTAATAACAGATTTCACAAGTCGTAATAACAGATTCCACCAGTGTAACAGATTTCACAAGTCATTATAACAGATTCCACTAGTATAACAGATTCCACTAGTCATAATAACAGATTTCAAAAGTCATAATAACAGATTCCACTAGCGTAACAGATTCCACTAGTCATAATAACAGATTCAACTAGTGTAACAGATTCCACTAGTCATAATAACAGATTCCACTAGTCATAATAACAGATTCCACTAGTCGTAATAACAGATTCCACAAGTCGTAATAACAGATTCCACAAGTCGTAATAACAGATTCCACTAGTATAACAGATTCCACTAGTCATAATAACAGATTCCACTAGTCATAATAACAGATTCCACAAGTCGTAATATTGGATTCCACAAGTCGTAACAGATTCCAGATTGCGTCCTGCAATTTCAGTAAAAATAAGCGTTTTATGACGTCACTATCGCAAAGTAAAGGCTGGTACAAGCAGATTTTGCAAACGCTTAGTTTTAGTAGAATTGGAGAAACCACGAGTGAAATTTGAATAATGCAAATATATGCTATCAGTGCCTCCAAATACACATAATTTTATTTAGAAAACCTCTTTACAATGTATTTTATTGTTTTAATTAAATATATTTGGAAAACAATACAAATAGCCTAATGTTTTTTACCCTTTTGCAATAAAGATATTATTATTATTATTCACATTAAAATTTGACGTCTTATCGTAAAGAATAT